TATTCTGTCCTATAGGGTCGCTATGAGTTGGAATCAACTCGATGGCACACAACAACAACAACGTGCAAATAAGTTATATGGAACCTGTGATGGTTGGGGTTATGCGTCAACTTGTCTAGGCCAGGATTGCCAGTATTACATGGTTACCCTCCATTTTATGTGTTGTGAATCTTAACCTGTACATATTAATGAGTCAGGATTTGTGTGGGGTGTATCTTAGTCACAGCCTTGCAGGAGGGTGTGACTCAAGTCCCACCCTTACTGAAGTTACACCCTTTCCTGGGGTATGGCTTGCATGCAAGGTATATAGGTGGGTGCCCTGGCGAGACTCTCTCTCTCTGCATTTGGATCCCGTGTCTGGTTTGTGATCATCTACCTCTGGTTCTTGGGACTTGAACCAGCGGCCTGCCATCTGACTTGCTTATTCTTGGATTTGCTGACCTCTGCAACCCTGTGAGCCGGCAGCCCACTGTCTGACTTGATTTGCCAGCTTCCTCAGCCTTGTGAGCCAGCATCCTGTGGTCTGACCTGCCGGTTTTCGTTCATCAGCCCCTGCAGCCATGTGGGTTGGGAGAAGCCTATGCTTGACCCATGGATTTGGGACCTGCCAGCTTCCACAACCATGCGAGCCAGTTACTTGATACGGTTCGTGACTTCTGTGAGACGTTGCAGTGAATTACGGAACCCAAGGATGGGAGGGAGAGTACTGAGGGGAGGAGGAGTAATTGATGTTAGAGATGATGGAGTGTTATAGCAATTTGGGAAAAGTTGGACATTTGGGGCATCTTTAACCTCCACCTCATAGGAACCAGCTTTTTGCTGATCCTTATAAAATAAATCATTCATTTAGGAGACAAACATAAACAAATAATCATATACAGAGAGATATATGCACATTGCTAGGAGAGCACAGTCCCAGGAAACATTCATTCTTCCTGGGGTAGGGGTTGGGGTCCGCAAAGTGGAAAGAGACCTCAGACCTGAGATATGAAGGCCGAAAAGAGCTC